GCTTTAGCGCTCTGTTTGCTAAATAACATCCTTGGGAGTACCTCGAGACTAGATACAGGGCGAGCAAGAAACCCTTCTCGCGGGTCAGCGGGTGTAATTGCGCGCTTATTAACCTTTGCCGCGCTGCATTTGCGTATCAAAACAGAAGAGCTTCGCTTTAAATTAATATAATTAATTTTCGTGCATTCTCGAACTACTTCTGCGTGTCAATAAACTATTGTAGATCTGTAGTTGTCCACATTTTCTAGATAATTATTTTTGTAATAATTACATTTTTAAAAAAGATTTTTGTCTGACGTAAATATAATGATTCAAATTTTGATAATTTCTCTGAATAATAGTCAATACATCGGTCAGAAGAAAATTACTTCGAAAAATATTAACGCTACTTTGTGAAAGTAATTAAAAATGATGATCGTCATTCATGACAAACCGAAAATGCGCATAGACAAAGTCCCGCGTGGCTAGTTCAAGAAACTTTCGACGATGAATGACAATGCGGGCTGGACAGTTAATTAATCATTCGGCTTAACACTTGAAGGCTTATTGCGTTGTTGCGATACCTACTGCAGACTCTATTGACTAGAACATTATGTGGTTATCACACGTAGTCAAAAACAAAACGCAGGCGGCGAGTGATTTACAGCGTTAGATTGCAGGGATTGCAGTCTTGTTGTTAAGAATTTGCATATCTTGTTATTCAGATTTGCAAAAGATTTGCGATAAAATTATGGTCTTAACATTACCTTGAATTTTAAAAAGGTTGGTAATAATTTAAAATTTCATATTTGGGAAAATATGTCTGATATCTTAATGCCGCTGTTTAAGAAATGCACATACAAATATATATAATGACAAGCTTGTACATTATTATTATAGGACACGATATATGAAGTATTCATGAAAGTTTCTGCTATCAGCGCAATGCATAAACAAATATCTTTTTCATATTGTTTTTAAAATTAGATAACTGAAGTCTAATAAGTTTAATGTATTAAGAGAATCTTTATATCAACTATTCTATATTTAACCAACTAATATGAAAATTACTTAAATTCTAAAGCGTCCTGTTTGAAGTACAGAATGCAAGTGTACCTCCATTTTACGGTAATTGATAGAAGAAGATTTAACGTTTTGTTATCTACGATTACAAATCTTATAATACTAATCATATAGATTGTATCAGCCATCTAAAATTTTCGCTTCGAAATAACAAATGACCCATATCTATAGAGTATAGAGTTAAATCACACTTGTAAGTCAAATTAGTTTTTTATAATACACATTAATGAATTTTATTCTCAATTATCTTATTAATTTTATGTCTTGTTAATTTTATATTCCATTTTTTGGCAACTTGCGCTGCATTTTCCTTTCGAAACGTACAACGACGTTTCTTGCGACGGTTGCCGTCAACTTTGCGACAATTCGTGCGGGTAACCAGATAATTTGTATATAACACGCATCTCTTTTGCACGGTGCATCATTATAGGAAAATTATTTATGATAGGATATGATACACATGCCGTTCGATATGCGCGAGTAAATACACGATCTATTTACCGCCGCCTATCTACATATGATACGCACGTAGGAGGGGGAATATGGGATAGCGAGAAAGCGGGTAATCAGGCTGCAAGCACGCAACAAATGCATCATTTTGTGGAAGAGGATAATATCCTGCATTTGCAAACGCGAATTTAAAGGTTAAAAAACTTGAGATGAGATAGCTCGCCCAAGGGTCGCAAAGTTTGTCGCATTTCCTTTAATTATTGTGTAATTGAGCCTTCATGTATTCTGGAAATTCTTTTTCTACCAGTCGATCGATCTATCCGCGATTGGAAATTATAAAAAAAAGGGAGAGGTCTCACTTAACGCCAGCGGAAACTCACCTTAACGCAAACGATAGACGATATCGTTCGCGCCATCATCGATTCATCGATATCAAATAAGATATGATAGAAGGATGAGGTGAAACGAAGCACATCCATCATCATTGTCGCATCTACGTTCATGAGACCGTCACTTTGTCGTCAGCCGTCAGATAGTTGGCCGAGAAGTAAATAGGACTTTCTTAGTTATCGCGGAAAGAACGGTTATTTCTTGGCATCGTGTTCTTGGCATCAAAATCAGTTCAAAATAAAGAAAAATTGATCCTGATTATAACAAATAGTTATTGATTTGATTTAAAGAGATCTTTCGACACTGACACTGTCCATGAATTTTGCTTCTGGATGGCAGATACGCAAACTCGCGAATTCGCGATCTTGTTCATTGCGATATTGTCATCTTTCTCCTCCTAATCGCGACGATCGATCGCGTGCCATTATCGGATCTCACCGTCTTAGAAACCCATGGCGTTACGTTGTTCGTCGTCACTCGCGAATCGATATGGTCCATTGATCTATCGATCGCTACGCTACCCTGTGACGAAGGTCAACCAATAAGAGTAATCGGGGCGTAAGGGGATAATCGGTGCCGCAGAAATATTCCGGTATCTTTTCGCGGCGGCGTCATCGCGCGAACTAAAGAATATCGCAGTTGTAATTAAGAAAACGGAGCCGCCGCCGCCTTTTTTCCGCCGTTCCGTGGAGACGAGGGGGTGCCTCGCGGGCGTCGCGGGGGTGGGTGTTACCAACGGGGGGTAGCAGTCGCGGGGGTGGAAAAGTCTGTGAAAAACGCGCGCATGACAATGCCGCCCTTTCTAGCCCACCCCGCACCTTCTACCGTCACCTTCTCCTCCTCCTCCTCTTCCTCCTCCTCCACCTCTACCTCCTGCTTCTCTCTGACTCCTTCTCCACCACCTTCGCCGCCTCCACACTCCTCGCCTGGTGGGGGCTGTCGCGAACTAATTAAAAATTCAGCCGACAACGAGTTACCCGAAGACGTTGCCCTTCCATCCCTCTTTTCCCTCTTTCGCTCTCGTTCGACCTCTTCTTCTCCCTCTAGTTCATTCATTCACACACACACACACTTTCTCTTTCTCCTTGTACCTCATCTCCCCCCCCCCCCCCCCCCCCCCCCCCTTTCTTCTCTCTTGTACTTAACTTTCTCGCGCTTTTCGTAGCTTTTTTACCTTCCCTCCGTCGTCAGCCACGCGACCGCCGATCCTTTTCACTTTTTTTCATTGCACCACACCACGAGGAACGGCCGCGCGCTTACCTCATCGACAGGTTGCCTTCTTCATCGAGACTCGGGTGCTTTTTCCGAGAAGACGGAGTTAATTACCGGATCACGACCGGGATACCGACTCGAAAGACTTGTATTATGACTGCCGCATTCAATTCTTTTCCCCAGAAAGCATCGCTTGCCAAGAAATTAATCGCAAGGAGATCTGATTTTGAAGTTCGCCGTTCTATATCGCTTTATTTTTATTATACTATGACATAGTTACCGACGACGCATAACATCAGTGAATCGAGACGGATCATAAAATGATTAGGATCGAAGTAGAATGTGCTGGACTTGCGTGACTCGATTGAAAACGATTTACGACGATTCGATCACGGATCGGAAGGATTTGCCGCCGTTGAGCAGAGTTTCTTGTTACAAATGGCACGGATTTGTCGGCGGCGATTAACAACCAGCAGGGAAGAGATTACTTTTGATTTGCTCTCGAAGAAAACTTAAAACGAGTTACATCGACATAATCGAGTGGATCCGCAAATAATTTTGCTCTTGATTAACGATGTTTTAATGTATATTGATACAAAAAATTAATATTAAAAATTTCTGAAAAGAATGCAGAACATCTTAATAAAAAGTAGGAAATATTTTGCGATTTAAACGGAAAAAAATTTATTTTACTATTTCTACACTGAGAAAAAAATATCTTAATTTCGAAGAAATATTTCTTTGCTCGTATTCAAACAAATTATTACTTTGGATCAATAAAAATTTCTTTGAAATTAAAATATGTTTTTTAAAGTAAAAAAAATATCTTAATTTTCATTGATCCAAAGTAATAATTTGTTTGAATACGAGCAAAGAAATATTTCTTTGAAATTAACATATTTTTTTCTCAGTGTAGCATTTTCTTATTAGTATTAAAAATTTAGCATATACACAATAAGTATAAAACGGAAGTCTAAAACAGAATGAAAAATACCAACTTATGAAAAGTATATTTGTTTATTGAATTTCTGTTGAAAGAAATCTTTTCGAACAAGACACAACAATATTTGTGTTTTGGATATTCATATGATCAGTTGGAATTTGAAGGCTCATTCTGTGATTTTCTAGGAGCTATTGTTTTTTTTTCGTTAATATAGCTATATTAATTTCTTTTATTTTCTTTCTTTGATTCCTAATTTCTTACCAGTTTTTATGAAGACATAAATATATATTTAAATTATATATGAAATTAATTAACGCTGTGATGAAATTAATCTTGCTATTTATTCTTTTAAACATTTATCGATCCTAGTTGTCGAAAACATTCACAAGTTTTGTTTCGAAACAATTGGATCGAGAGGTAGTGTGTAACAGGAATTATATCATTTTTAATCTAATCGCGTTATAATAGGATACATTATCGAATCTAATCTAATCGTAGTTTAAGTGATGAAGCGGTATATATAGAATCAAAATATAGTAAGTTTTTTTAGTATTTTGTAGCAATTTTAGCAAACAGATTTTAATAACTTCATTGTTTCTTGTTGCTCGAACCGCGTGGCCACAATAAATACGTCCGTAAACATGATACATGATTTTGAGCGCATTGTCTTCGCAAACGTGACAAATATCATGCATTTAGCGTGTGTCTAATCGCGTGTTTTCGCACCGTCGCGGCGTGAACATTTCGCCACGAATATTTCGCTTTCGTGTCAATTCAATCCGAAGTGATTCGCGCTAAGTGACCAATGATATCGAACGTGTTATCATTCTTTAGCATTCTTGCCAAAAATTACAGCGGCACGTAAACACGAAAAAAAGAGTTCGTATTAACGGACAAGCGTGACATTTCGTGGAAAATGAGATTTTTTGTTGTCGTCACTCACCTTGCGCGATCCTGACCGCGGGCATTTTGATCCTCATGGTGGCGTTCGCGATCTTCGGCTCTCGTCGCGTAACACTATTTTTTGAAGAACGAGCCTCAGCTCCGGGAGTCCAGGACGGAAAGGGGTTGCAGTTGCTGTTGTCGTTGGGACCAAGAGCCAGTTGTTACCTTCCGATCTCCTGAATCACATCCGCGGAGACGAGATGAGAAAGGAGGAAGCGACAAGCGCACGTCGGTGGCAGAACGACAGGACAATGGACCCGATCCCGATTTCGGCCGTCGTCACGCTTCCGCCCTCCTCCCTCTCACCTCCACCGCGTGTTTTCGCCCTCCGCGAGAGGGTCCATCCGATTTTTCCCGGGATATCGAAACACTGTCCTCACTGTCCTTCTTTTTTCTAGGGACACGCCGTGTCCAGTTCTTTTTATCGCGAATCGCGCTCTCTTACGCTATTATCCGATACGTTTCGCACACCTGATCACCGCAACCTGGACACTTCTTCGTCAACTAATATCGGTCCTCATGTTCCTCATTGGTCGCATCTCTTCGCGACTGTATCGCGTTCACTACCGCGATAAATACACGCGACATATATGACACCGCGACTCCGCGAACGATAGTATCGATACCAAGCTGACCGAGTGACTAACTGACCGGAACGTTCAGCTCGCACAGGTGCGGGATGACGTTTACGTGCTCGGCCGGCGGGAACGGTGGCACCTTTGCGATTGACAGTAGTTCTGTACGTTGACTCGTCACTGACCAATTTCCCTCTGGCACCTGCGAAACCGATGTTGCGCCGACACGCGGCACGACCGCAGGCAGTTTGCTCGCACCAAACGTGGTGTTCGTCGCCGTGATCAACAGAGTTCACAGCTCGATTCCTCGCACAACGAATTTATCCGGAATTGCTTCTCGTTGACTGTTCGCTCACTACCGTCACCTTCGAATCTCGCTGATACGGTCAAAGTGAATAGAAGAAAAAAAAAAGGAAAATATAAACAAGAGTCCGAAAACGTCGCGTCGCGAGTGTCCCGCAGAGTCGCGACGCGATGTTTTGCGCGAGTTCGATGAACCGAAGTTCCCAGACGGTCGTCGTCCGGTGATATCCTCGAATCCTTTGACGTCTCTCTCTTCTCTTATAGCTTCGTTTTGTTTTTTTTATTTTTAATTGCCGGCAGTCGGCGTGTTGCACCCGCGGTCCCTGGACCACGCGCGATCACGGTGACGTGACGTCGACGTGCGACGATACCGCGTCCTCGTTGACGTACGACCTCGGCGGACTGGTGCGGCTGTCTGGTGCAGCGGCCTGATGGCGACGGCGCGGGTGCTGGATGCCTGATGCCGGCGTGGACCAGAGCGACGACGGTCCAGCATGGGTCGTATCGCCGAGTGGACTGTGCCGGACTGTGCGCGCCTCTAGTCGTGTGCCGTACGGGACCTGGTGTGTGTCGGGCACTGCGCTCGCTTCGGACGCGCTCGGTTCGTCTCGGCGCCGAGGCCGGACACCCCACGCGCTCTCGGGGTAGTTTTCACCCCCCGTGGTGGGGGTAACGCTTCCTCTCTCTTTCTCCCTGTCTCTCGCTCTCTCCCCCTTCTTACATCGCACTCCCTTTCTGCACCTCTCCCCGATTCTTCTCCCTCGCTTTCGCTCTCTCTCCCTTCCACGGCACTCGCGAGCATTCGTTGTAGCCGCGTACACCTACAGATTCATATACACACACCCGCGCGCTCGTCTCTCCTCGTTCGTCGCCTGGAATCCAGATCCACTCTTCTCTCTTTCCGTTCTCCTCTCGCTCACTGATACCGGCGTCGGTGTTCGTCGTCCTTGTCGCGCGGGAGATAACCGCGAAGAGGGAGATCACGTCTTCTCTCGCGAGTATCTCTAACGCGACGGGTAGTAGGGGAAAGGCGCGCTTTTTCCAAAACGCAACCCTTCCTTCGCGTCGTGGCGCGAAAGCGGCGGATACGATTTTTCCGGCACGTTCCAACGGACGCGAGGGACCAACGGTTCTGTATCCGGCGCGAAAAAATCCACCATTGCATACAGATAGCTCGGAAAACAAGTGTAAAACTCTATGTTAGACTAATATTTTTTTAATCGAATTTTGTATTTATTTAATCTATTTTCGATAAGACAGTAATATTCGACAATTTACTCAACTCTTGCAACTATATTTTCAATGTTTAATAAATCGTAAATTACGTTGCGATTTAAATTTCTAAATCTGACAAATACATTATTCGTACTTCATTACAATCTTCTTGTCAATTATTCTATATATGTATTCATGAATGCAAATGAAATAATTAAATGAAATACTTTATAAATAACGACGGTTCTGATGAATACAATTCAAATGAAGAAATTGTTTGAAAATAAAAACGCAAGTCTTCATCGCGATTCAATGCTGACCAGGCATTTAAGTTCCTGCAGTAATATCCAAACGTATTAATGTTGCTTGGAACGATGCCAAGTTTTCGTTGCTGATCGTTGCCGCACTCGTTACACCCGCAATGAGTTTCTGTAGCAGAATTTTGGCGCGCGTGACAAATTGCTTTAAGCTACTTTTACTAACTACAGAAGACTTTTTCAAAGTTGCAAGTCCAACTATACCTACCTTATCAAAGCACGAAAGATAAAATTTATTTTAATATCATTGATTTAAAAACTTAATTATACTGTCACAATACATAGCACAATTGGTGTAATATGCATGAGATGTTAATTAATCTTTCGATTCGTTAACGATTAAAGTTAATTTTTTTTAAATATATACTTTCTATATTTGTGACATAAAATAAAAAGACTGAATAAGAAAAATTCAGATAAATATATAATATGTAATAACAAATTTAGATATTTCGCTACAGTTTTTGAAATTAGTTCAGTTTTTGCATTATTATCGCTTCATTATAAAACCATGTATTGAATGAAAAGAAAAAAGGTATCCCGCATTAACCGACGCGATGGTGCTAAATGCATGGGTCGCAGCCAGATTTACGAACCGATCGTACCAGCAGTGCAATGCACGCTCATCGTCCCTCGAACTCGCCGTAAACACACGGCGTCGAATCACAGAGAAAGCGGAGAGGAGCACACAGAAGTACCTGCTCTCTCACATTAATTATTCCGCGACTAAAACCCCTCATTCTACTCTCTTGTGGGATCGATATCCGCGACACGGATCTTTCTACATCGGGATTACTCGCTGGAGGATCTCGATCCTGCGACCAGCCGAACGGGATAAGATGCGAAACTGCGGTAGGGAGAGAGCAGAGAAAAGAGAGGGAGGAAGTAAGAGAGAGAGAGAGAGAGAGAGAAGAGGTAGAATGGAAAGAGACGCGAATGTGCCTTACATTATCCTGGATACGAGACGTTCATCCGTCTACAAAGAGACACCGCGGTCGCGATAGGAAGTTCGAAGTTTCAAAGGAAGTATGTACAACGTACGCTATACGTACGCGCATTCGTGTATCTCACGTATTCAGGAAGATTACGTATACACGACGTCGTGTCTCTATCATCTCCGATCCGTAGTGACGGACCACGCATAGGATGCGCTCTTTAATTTTCCGCCGGGTGAGGAGGTCGATCTCTTTTCTACTTTCCTCGAGTCGAATGATGAAGAGGGAGGAGCAGGAGGAGAGAGATGGGCGCCGAAAATGCTTCCCAGGCCTCAGATGCAGCCTGTCTTCGGCCTGTTTCTCTGGTGGAGGCGTCTCTAAAGTGACTTTTAACAATCTCCAAAAAATTATCTAGTGCCCTAAGCGTTTCGGGCCTCTGGACAGTGTTTCGTGGACCCGTACGTATCTCGGCCAGCTCATCTGAGAAAGAGCGAGAAAGATTTTGAAAAAAACGAGAATTTAATTTATTTTTCGATTAACTTTGTGAATTCTGCACTTGACGCCAAACTTAATCGTTTACTAATAAATATTACAAAAAGGTATATTAGAATTTTCCTAATCAGAAAGAAAGAGCGACAAAACAAGAAAGGATACAAAATAGTACCGCGATAGCTTTTAATTCTTAAAAAGTCTGACTGTAGAAGAAATTCACGCTTTAGTTTTATATGAATATAATTTGATGAAGTATTTTTACAATCCTTTTTTAAACGAAAAGAGGTCAGAGATTGCTTCGAACTAAGAATAAATTTTTCTTTTCACCCAACAACATGGTCAATGCGGCGATATCGTGATTGCACCTAATCGAGCTGATCTCCGTGTTCAAGAGAACTAGTTATTACTATTGCGGTTGCCGAACGTATATAGCGCAAAAAAAACTACGCGATTTCACAATAAAGAGTAATGAATGCACGGCACGCGGATCAACAGCGTAAGTTTAAACCCGGCGAAGTGTTTCGAAGATTAATCCGCGTTCTTTACGATGCTTGCATAAACGTTGCGAATTAGCGCTTATTTGAATCTATTATCTTTTCTCCTTCCGTTGAGATCTCTCCATCGATGACTTTGCAACGAATGGTTTTCAGAAGCGATTCGTTATGCTCAATCAAGAGAATTCATTCGAATATGTTAGATTCATGACAGGTGCATTTTGAGACTGATACATAATGAGATATCGTATATAAGAGCAATCACATGCAGTAATTTATTTGGTGTATTAAATGAACTCGAGCTGTGTAAGTACGAGCGGTAGAGAGTGTCTCCTTCGGTTAAATTACCTGCACCAGATGAATTAACGAATCCAGATCGCGCGAGGAAAGTTTCCGACGTGCAATTTAGCGAGTGCCTTTCGCGGGCACCGCATCGGAAGGACCGCGCGCATTTATACGATGCGCTTGCGAATTTATATGCGCCGCATCGAGTTTGTACATCTTATTTACGGCAGCGCTAGATAGATAGTATCGCCCGTTCAGAATGCATAAGTTATCAAGCGGTTTATTACGGGCACACACGTTAGGATACTCTTTGACTCGTCCTACACTGGTAGAAGAAGAGAAGGAGGGAGAGAGAGAAAGAGAAATAGTGCACTCCAGTGCACCTCGCACGTATCTCTAGAAAAGGCAACGATCCGTTGACCCGTGTGAAACTCCCACATTCATTACTGCGGGGCCACTGTATTCCGGACGACCGCAAGTTCATAGAATTTTTCCGCACTCTATACTTCTTGACTCATGCGTGTTTCTGTGATTCTTCTTTAGACTTATACGTAGACAGCGCGATTCCCCAACAAGACGCTTTTTCTGTAACCTCCAACGAAATAGATGAATAGAGAGAGAGAAAAAGGATTGATAAAAGCTCAGTTCCGGCAGATTATGAATACCTGAAGTTTCTCCAATTCTAAAATATTCAACTTTCTCCTGTGTTCCTTTCAATTTTTTTATTATGATATTTTATATATATATATATAAATTTTTAATAAAAAATATGACGAAAACATCATACACTGAACTAAAACTGTACATAAATACAATAAAATATTCATTGAATTATGAAAAAATTATGAAAATTGGTCCAATGAATTCTCATAATGATTTAGATTATAAAACTATTACTAGAATTCATTGCAAGAATGAATATATAGTTGTATAAATGAATCCAGTTATTATATCAATGAATTAACTACATTAAGTCGGACATTGATTAACGATCGTTCATTGGATCAAA